TTTTGGCTTTGTAAAAATTAGGATGGTCTGGTTAGTGATTGCATGTTAGAATGGTCTGCAGAGCGTGGGACACGCTCCTAGCGATTTTGTCTGTCCTGTCTGGGGTGGTACCTAAGCATTTACAGTTTAAATAATTTAATCGACTTTTTAAATGAAATTTTATTAAAAGATTCTCAGGTAATTATTCCAATATGTAGTCAAGATTGAGAACCTCTTATATACTTGCAGGCTTCAAAACATTCATGGAAAAGGGAATTAAAAGATACTGGAGTTTTTCCATAAACTCTTTTATCCCTCTCCCTCCCTGCCCCCAATATATGAGGAAAGGTCACATAATTTCTTTCTAACTCTTTGTTGTGAATTGGGTGAAGGTTTACAGAGCAGATGATCAGTTTTATTTTAAACAATCATGTACTTGCTTCATTTCAGTTATTTCAATCCCCCAATGAAACATCACTTATCCCACTTCCTCTCTGTGAACCCTTCTTCCCCAACCCTTCTGAATTTTGTCCTTTTGATCTTGAATGGTGAGTATTCTATGGTGTATGCACTTCATTAGTTGTGTTGTCCCCATTATATACCTTTGTACGGCTTGCCTGAAAATTCAGCCACATGGGGTGAATTTGGTTAAAGACCTGGAGGGTGGCCAAGGGCCAATGTCTGGGGCTTCCCTCAGCTCTTTCAGATGAGTAACCCTGATCTTTTTCATAATTGTGAATTTTGGTCCATAGTTTCTCCTACCCTATCTAGAACCTTCTAATATAACCCCTTTCTGAGCACTTGGTAGTGGTAGCCAAGCACTGTCTAGTTCTTCTGGTCTCAGGATCTTGGAGATGGATGTTCACTCATTGGACTAATTGCTTCCAAGCATCTTCAGTTTTCAGCACTCTTCTTCCCTCTACAAAGGGAGAGACCAGTAGCAGCACTTCAGTGAGTAACAACTGAGCTTTTAAGATCTCAGTTGTTACCAGAGTAGGTTCTAGAGCATTGTGTTTGTGGACTGTTATACCAGTCAAAGGTCACATAATTTATAAAACTAATTTATACACATATTATAGTTTATCGTGTATGAAGCACTTTTACATAATTATAACATTTTCCCAAGGACCCTAACAGGTAGGTAGGGTAGATACCTTTCTACATAATAGATTAGGTAATGATCTTCAAACAGTAAGTGCCTAGTCTTAGATTATATGAGGAAACTTCCGTTTAGAGAAGGAACTAGGGCTGGAAACCAAAAAATCTGACCTTGAATCTACTGATTTTTTTTACTACACCACTGGTTTTAGACCTTAAGAGTCCTCAGATGAAATGATGAATCTTAAATTTATCTTTTTATTAGTTGTAAAAATACATGTTACAAACATTTGCCAATTAAAAGCTAGTTTTTTTCAGTTACGTGTTAGGAAGTACCTTTTTGCTTGTGGCCAAGTTCTATAAGTTATCTTTGCACAAAATACTAAAGGCACAGAGAACTTCATTAAAATGTAGTGTGAATGGCTCAGGTTTTCTAGCCCTGCCTGAAAAGACTTTTTACCCATTCCTTTTATACAGTCTCCTGAGTAGGACTTCAGGACCTGGGGTTGGCATTCTGGGAGTCACATGGACTCAGCAACATGTAATTAAGAAATAGAGATATTGCATGTGCACTTGATATCTAAAGCTAATAATTTGTGTTTATGTTTTGATTGTTGACTAACTGGTAGGTGATAAATGAGTTTGATTATTAGATCTAATTACTACAAAAGAAAATCAGGTTCTAGATTTTATTTTATTAAAATTTCATTTGTTATTGCTCTAAATAAATGGGCTCAGCCTGCCATAAAAATCACTTTGGATATTGAATATTATTTTAATAAACTTTGATTTTTGTGCATGTTTCTATTTCTCTTTAATATTTAGGTATTAATGATAGTGGCCAACTATTAATATTTTTTCTTTGCTTTTTAAATATGTGTTATAAAATGTGGTAAGGTTTCTCACTAAAATTCAAATAGGACCACCCTTGTACCCTTGAAGAAACAAACAGCAGGTGTATTGTGATGGAAAGAATTTCCTGGCACAACTTGCCTAGCCTTTTTCTCACCAATGCAGTTTTATATTTTCTTAACATGTCTTCATATTAAGTCTCTGTCATTGTCCTGTGTCACTGGAGTAAATCTATCAAGATTACTGCTAGGAACTCCCAAAAAACAGTCACCATAACCTTCTGAGCTGACATCAATGCCTTGAATTTAATTGACTCAGGACATCCCCTCTGAAGCCACTGACCATTTTTTGTGAAGGCACCTTAACAAGACTAAGACAGTTGTATTACTGACATAGCTTGTCTGCAACCATCCATAGATTGCAGAGGCATGTTTAAACATGTTTTAAGTAAACCCATGCATGTATGAACTAGAACCCTGGTAGCAATACTTTCTGATTTACCCTCGAATGTCTTCATGTTTAAACTAAATTTAAATGATTCCATCCTTTAAAAAAAAAAAAAAATCCCTAAATATTTTTATTTTATTATTCATATTGTCAAGCAAATATTTCATGCTAATAAAATCCTATTATGTATCTTTTATAATTAATCCACTTATGTCAAAGTTCTGTTGTTCTATGAAAAATATTCATAGGAAATTTTAAGAAGCTTCCAACCTTAATTTAAAAGTTTCCCATTGCCTTTAGATAATAAACACAACACAGATAAAGGAAAGAGACTAGTAAGTGTCCTTGAGTGAAGCATAGCCTACCTAATCCCTTGGGATTTAGAAATCTGAACTCTAGATTCCCTCAGTGAATAAGACAGCTTGAAGTATTGAAGTGTTCCAGGTTCTGAACACTTAATTATTATGCTTCTGCATTCAGTCTTATAAGAAACCTGGAATATTAGCAATAGTGATACTTTTTAGTGATTTCTTATCTGTGTAGCTCTAGTTTTCTAATAAAAATGTTTGATTATGCTAACTAGATTCAAAATGCATATTGAAAATAGATTTAAAAAATATTTTCTGTTAGTGTTGCTAAGTCAGTTCTGTTAGAACTTCTTTAAATAAGGAAGCCTGGTGATGCTGTGGGCTAGGCGTTGGCCTGCTAACTGAAGGGTTAGCAGTTCCAACCCACCAGCCACTTCATGGAAGAAAGCTGAGGCTGTCAGATCACATAAAGATCGACCGTGCTGGAAGCCTTTAAAGGGTTGCTATAAGTCGGAATAGGCTTGATGGCAGTGGGTTTAGAATATCTCTAAAAGGATTAAAGGGAAATCACACTCATTTCATAAAATAACATTTTTGTTATTTTGTAGCCATAATCTAATTTGAAATATTTAAATAGGTTGTTTTTAATATTCTAAATGTTGACTCGTAAGGAAATTCAGGTTCTCACAAAATTTATGTTTAATGCTAAATTAAAAACTATCATTCTTCATGCTTAAGTTTTTTTTCCCATTTTTATTTACTTTTTATAAAAAGGTAATATTTCAGTTTTACTCATTTTATCTATGGTAATAATTAAGGATTTCAGGAAGACTAAGTGATATTGGGCAGATGTCCCAGTATTCAGGTACAGGTTTACAGTGCAAGAGTAAGGCAATAAGCAGACCATTTTGAAAATCATATCCATCAAAGTAATTTATTTTTAAAAACTATAAAAGCAATGCAAAGCAAATTGCTTATACTTGCTTTGGTTCGATGAAACCAGAACGTTTACTTACTTTTCTGAACTGAATATATTTTTCAAGGAGGATCAAACAGTTATTTAGGGGGTAGGCAATCAAATTGTGGTACTGTAGGATCAGCACTAGACTGCGAACCACAAGGTCAGCAGTTCAAACCCACCAACTGCTCCTCAGAAGCCGTACAGGGTTGCTATGAGTCAAAACCGACTTGGTTCTTAGCAATAGCAAATCAAGTTGAATAACACAAGCCTGGCAAGTTAACACATTGTCTTTAGCTGATTCTGGATTGAAGGCAGTGGCTGATTATTTTGGAGTTGTTTTTATAAATTGAGTATTTCTTAGTTAGCAAATCATTTTTGTGTGTGCTATTCAAACATGTTCATTTATGGGTATGTGATTGTATGAAAACGCGTAGGTAGAAATCGATGGAAACAACTTTAACGTAGTTTGTGTATGTAAATAGGATTCAGTAAGAGTCACATCCAGTTAACTAGTTCCTAAAGGTACAAAAAATATAACACTCATTTTTGTTATCAGTTTCATAGTAAAACCGAAGTATAGCAAGAAATCAGGCACACCTGACTGGTGGAATTTGAGAAGTTTCAAAGGAACTGTTATACCTCTATGAGACTGTGTCGTATTTATTTGGGACATATGACTGGCATTCTGCACAGTAAATCACCTGGTGAAATGTTCAGTGAACTGGTACCTAGGTAGAGAAGCAGTTGTCTGATAACGGGGGCAGTAAAGCTGTCTTCCATCCTGGACCAAGCGCAAGAAGAAATGCCGTGTGAGAATTGGGAAATTACTGGAACACCAAGTAAAGTCAACATGGCAGGTTGTTCCAGCTTGCAGAATGCTGGACACAGGGAACTTCAAAAACACCAAGAGTATGGTCTTGACACTGGACAGGTTTGGTATTTATTAGTAGAAGATGATGTAACCTTTGCATAATATATTTAAGTCCAAGATTTCAGGCACTTTAGAATTACTGGATATTTAGTTGATGATTAGTGCAAATATATTGTTAACTTAAAATTCACACAGAACTATAATTTGTATTCCCTTGGCAGTAGAGTCCTGTTGGATAAGCTACTCTCTCCAGAGAACTCTGCAGGTGACAACCTTCTGCGCAGTAGTACTTTGTGATAGGATACACAGTGGAACTTTGCTTTTTTAAAAGCACTGTAAATAGGTTTCCATTCTATTTCAGTTAGGTATTCACATATTTCAAGCCCTTAAATGGTCCTGTGGTAGACAAAATGAGCAAAATTAAAAGAGCTCTGTAAGGGCATATTATTAATATTTTATAAAAATGCTGCTGCTACGATTGCAGGTCCTTTTGGAATAAATCATGGGATTGAGCTTCATTCAGATGTGGTGGAATATGCCAAGGAAAAGCTGGAGAGCTTCATCAAAAATAGTGATAGCTTTGATAAGTAAGTATTTACATCTGTAGTTCTGGTTGAAAACACTTGATCAAATGATATGTGTAACACCTGTTTCTCAATACTATTCCTTTACTTTTGATCCTGGATTGCTAATTTAAACACAGCAAAAATTAGTGTGCTATAAAAATGAAAGAAAAAATGTTAGGAAAAGTATTCTGTGCTGTAACATCTGTTCTATGTAAATCTGTAGTAAATCATAGGTAAATGAAATATCCTTTATAATATGATGTTACTACCACTTTATTAGTAGAGTAAACCTCATTCATTAAATATCATTCAGGGTTCTTTATATAAATATATATATATATATATATCTACCTGGTAAAAATTTTATTAGAATGCTTTTCTAATACTGGTTTTATACCTTTGGGGTACTAATTTAGTGATCCAAAGATAATGAACATAGAGGTACAGATCTTGTGATAGGCTTGTCTGAGAACTGTTTTTATAAAGCCATTGCTTTAAAATGAGTCTACTTCCCCTTAGAAAAAAGCACTACACAGAATTTGGGTTTTGGGCTGGCTGAGAAAATCTATTTAGTGCGTATGTTCCTAAAATTCGATATTGATAAATACTGTGAGCAGGTATACTTTCCAAAAGTTTGTGAACACCAGGAATTTATGTGATTACAGTTCTCACTTTTCTTTATAACTGTCATACTTTGAAATGGTTAGGAGTCACAGGTTTAGAATATTGTTACTTACATAGTTCAAAGCTATTCACATAGTTCAAAGCTATTCACATTCTCCATTTCACTTGCTTGCTGGCAGTGAGACCTCCATCTTCTCCAGGCTCTGGCTATAGACACTAAAGATAAGACCCTGCGGACATTCAGGACTGGTGGTGGTTATGTGCCATGGAGTCAGTTCCTACTCGTAGCAACCCAAGGCTGCAAATCTTTAGGGAGCAGAAAGCCTCATATTTCTCCCATGGAACAGCTGGTAGTTTCGAACTGCTGACCTTAGCAGTCAACCACTACAGTACCAGAGCTGCAGTCAGGACTAGAGCTGAGGATTTCCTCTAGAGAGATCGGGCTTGGGGACAGCATCAAGAGAGAAGCTAAGAAGTCCCTTTGGAAATGTCTTTTCCTTTCTCCTCCTCTTGCCCGTTCTCTCTGGCTATATCCCTTTCCTTGCCTTTTTCCTTCATTCTCTTTGCCATTAGCAGTTTGTATCTCTCTATCCTCTTGTAAAACTAACACTTGAGTGGTTGAAGAACAGAATCCCAGTGTGCTATTGGGAAGAAAGAAGGCCTCAAAGCCCACAATGCTATAGGCAAGGGGTTGTAATTCGTTTATGAAAGACCACACGCAGGCAAGCTAGGTGAGTGGGGAAATAACTTGTGTTCTATTCTGTAATCAATGAATTTGAGCAAGCCACTTGCATTTTCTGCATCAATTTGCTGAATACCTTTCATTATCTTTTCTATAGAAAAAATGGCATGTAATTCACATTTTGAAACCTTTTCTCAAGTGCTTACCGTGTTGGTTCATAATCTATTTCCAAGAATAACATGTTTGTTATAGATAAAATCATTTTTAGCATAAATTATTTAGTAAGAAATTTGGAATTCAACTTTATCTATTATTTCGCTGTCTTGTGATTGGTAGTCTAGTGAGTGCTTAAGATACAGACATGGATATTTCTTACATAGTTTATTAAAAGTACAGAACTGTGTTAAATACATTGAATTCATGTTGCTTTAAGTATTTGTTTTATTTTGAACCTTAGAAAATGCTAAAATAATGAAAGCAAATGTTTAGGATCTATTCTAAGAGCTATTGTATACTAGGTATTAACACATTTCATGTTATAATTCTTGAAACCCTAGTGTATGCAGTTTGAGTCATTAACTTAAGTGGCACAAAGTCAAGAAAGTATCTTAAATCACTGGAGTATCTCTGTATGTTATTATTTAAAGCATTTCTGTGCCACTGTATTATAAATATTAAACAATCCATGAAGCAAATAAATCTGAAGACTGTGTTTTAAGTTTCTTAATTAATTTTTTTTTTTCTAAATTTGCTGTCCTGCAGCTGTAAAATTATAAAATTTTCTTTGCATGCAATTTTGGAGTGATCTTTTGTTGTTACTCTTTATGATGAATCATGGAATTGTCTGATCTAAATACAATTTTAGTAGTTTTTAATTAGACATTATAATTTACTTGTTTCTAAAATTTATAACTTAACTTTTGAAACAGATTCTTACATTAACAAATTAGTCTGAAAAGATTAGAGATGGCAGTTTTATTACCTGTTCTAGTTTTCAAGAAGTGTTCCCATATATTTTTGTTAATATGTTTTACACAAAAGTAGTCGGTACCAGGGAGGTTTTTATATTTTTCTTTTTTTTGCAAAGAGTTGTGAGTGATTGGAAGTTTAATACTCAAAACTGATGCAAGGTCACTCATGCAACGGTTCATTTTTCATCTTTTTATATCATTTGGCTTTGTGACAAATATAAAAATACAGTGTGTTTCTTCCTAGCCAATTGGTGTTTTCATTATATCATTGATGCTTATGGATTGTATTTCTGCGTATGTTCAGATTTTTTTAAGTGAATTGAGAGAAGAACTGGTACATGGCACACAAAGTGAATTTGAAATCCTCTAAGTGATTTTTATTAGATTTAATTATGTTGTTGTTGTTAAGTGCCGTCGAGTCGGTTTCGACCCATAGCGACCCTGTACAGGGTTTCCGAGGCTGTAAATCCTTACGGGAGCAGAAAGTCTCATCTTTCTCCCACGGAGCTGCTGGTAGTTTCTAACTGTTGGCCTTAAGGTTCGCAACCCGATTCGTAACCACTATGCTACCAGATTTAATTATATGACCCATTAAAATATAAATTTTAATCAATGCAATGTTATAACGCAGGAAAATTATTTGTTCTTTGCGTTTCCTTAACACCTGATTATTCTTGATTTTGTATGCCATGGAGAGAATGTTGTTGTGTGCCACTGAGTCAGTTCCAACTAATAGGGTTTCTGAGAGTGGCTGATAAGTTTTAACTGCCAACCGTGTAGGTAGCAGTCCATTGCTTATCCTACAGTGCCACACTAGGAGAGAATAGGTAGCTGAAATCTAATAGACACTCCTCAAATCATATTTACCCTCTTGTTTTGGATCTTTGTTTTATCATGCACTTTTCAAAAATATTATGTTATTTCTGATTTGAACTGCATCTTTAAATTGTTCTTATATATGTCTCATGAAGATCATAAGTGAACTCCCAAATAAGAAACAATAGCTAGGAAAAGTAATAATCAACACAGAGTATGTAATGTAAGATAACCTATTTTACAAAGTCTGTGTTTGGTTTTGCATGTGTCTATAACATGGATGCTGTCTTGAAAGTAATATATCTTCTTTAGAAAGGAAGCATCCTTAAGATAATGTACACAGTGGCTTCAAAAAGTTTGTGGAAAAATCCATTCTATTTTCATTCCATTTTTCCATAAACTTTTTGAAGCCCCCTTGTATTGTTGTTTTTAAACTACTTTCTGTGTCGTAGTCCTGTACCAGCAAGAGGAATAATTTGGAGACGCTACTCTTAACAGCAACTCTGAAATGACTGAATGGGCATGGTGTGTTCCAGTAGACTTTATTTTCAAAAGCAGGTAGACTTTATTTCAAAAGCAGTAGACATTATTTCAAAAGCAGAAACATATACTGTTGAATGATGATGCACGGAGGGGATTGTAATTATTAAATGAAACGATGAATGTAAAATTGATGTTCTCCCATGTAAACTATCACTCAATTCATGATAAAAACTTGAAGGCAGAACAACAAAACAGGTAGTGAGCTAGACTTGGCCCACTGGTCATTGTTTACTGACTCTTGCTTTGGCATTTACACGATTACTTTAGTCCACTCTGATCTAGACAGGAAATTCAAAAATACTCATTATATGAATATGTGCAGTAAGCAAAATAATTTCCATCTTCATTAGGAAGAGTGTGTCACTTAAATGAGTCTGTACTGTAAACCTTTACTCTGTAAATGGGGAGTATGGGGCTCTGTACAGTAAGCACTGGACTGCAGACCACAAAGTCAGCGGTTTGAGCCCACCAGGTGCTCTGTATGAGAAAGATGAGACTTTCTGTTCTCACAAACGTTTTCAACCTCATAAATCCATTATAGGGTTGCTGTGAGTCAGAATTGACTCAACAGTCCTTAGCAACTTAACAACAACAATCTTGTAAATACCCAGTAATTATATAGCATTCATTTATAGCTATATTTGTGTATTTGTTTAATATATATATATGATGTGAAATCCTATGTGGTTCTGTAGGATAAGCACTGGACTGCTAACTGCAAGGTAGACAGTTCAAACCCACCACCAGCTCCTTGGAAACCATATAAGGGTTTGCTATGAGTTAGAACCGACTCAGCTGACACTTAACAATAGACTTGTAGTTGACTTGGCACACTAGAATGCATGCGTTGTAGTGTTTCTTATCCTAGAAAGGCAGTCCTAGGTCTACCTGTGATTTTTGGAAATACTCTAGTATCAATACACTATTGAGTGCTCTATGTAGTCTGATTTAATGGGGATTTTCTTCTTACATGAATGGAGGACTACTGCTTCATATAGTCTGTCATATAGATAGGTCATGATATAAATGAGGAAAACAGTAATGAGAGAATAAAAAATAGCATCGAATATGTATTGTCTATTCAGTAAATACAGTGCACCATTTTATATGCTTTATCCACAGTCAGGTGATACCAGTGTCCACCTTTCCAATGTGAATACTAAAGGTTAGAGAGAGAGTGATCATAACCTTAGCCAATTTTTTTCACATAGGCCTAATTTGGAGTCCTGGTGTGGCGCTGTGGGTTAATGCGCTGGACTGCAAGGTCACTTTGAACCACAAGTTGGCGGTTCAAGCTCACCAGCCATTCCTAGGAAGCTCTATAGAAGGTCATTATGAGTTGGAACTGACTGGACGACACTTAGCAACAACAATTTAACTATGAT